TTCCTTCCCAATAGCAGTGTACAGAGGCTCCTCTTCTCCACATGCTCGCCAACACTTGTTACTTTCTGGTTTTTATAATAGCCATCCTAATGGTGTGAGATGGTATCTCATTGTCATTTTGATTTTATGCCTTTCCTTTTTAAATTAACAAGAAATATTTTTTAATCCTAAAAATAAATAGTAACCCTCAAGCAATTGATAATGTAATGAGAATGATGACACTTGAAAAAATAGTGAAGAAATTGCTGTGAATAAATACTATTGCTCGAATGATATTTATATTTAGGTCAAGTGCAGTGGGTTTCAGAGATGCTACCAAGATAATAAAATAAGTGCCATCATCCAGGCTGAACTTTGTTTCTTACTTCATCCTTCTTCATTCTTAGCAACCATTATCAATGGTAATTGTTTGATGCAGGTGTTAAACTTAATATCTAGTAGGGTCTTCTTTGGTTTGATCTAGAATAAGTAACCCAGTTTTGGAAGTTATAGGTTATTTTTCCTGTCTTGAATTTATCAATCCAAGAAATAAGTTTAAGTGGGATTTTGCCTGTTAATATTTGGAATTTATTGAGGTCACAATTCTTATACCTTTCAAATGTAAGTTTGCAAGTTAATTTGTAATTAAATGCTAGTAATTGAAATCTTTCTCAAATCTGCCTTTAAGAGAAAAAGAAAAGCCGGTTGTGGTGGCGCATGCCTATGATTCCAGCAACTCCTCAAGAGACTGAGGCAAGAGGATTACAAGTTCCGAACCAGCCTCAGCAACTTAAACCCTGTCTCAAAATAAAATATGAAAAAGGGCTGGGGGTGTGACTCAGTGGTTAAGTGCAAAAAGAAAAGAAAGAAAAAGAGCCAGGAGCAGTGGTGCATGCCTGTAATCCCAGTTACTCAGGAAGCTGCAGCAGAGGATCACAAGTCCAGAGTCAGCCTCAGCAACTTAACAAGGCCCTAGCAACTTAGTGAGAACTTATCTCAAAATTTTAAAAAAGGCTGAGGATGTGGCTCATTGGTTAAATGTTCACTCTCGTGTACCAAAAAAAAAAAAAAAAGAAGAAGAAGAAGAAAAGGGAAAAAAGAATTAGGTAAATAAATGGGGCAGATTATGGATTTTGCCAACTCTTATCTTTCTAAGCAGACTGGCACTAAATTTATATTTTGTTTCAACGTTTTTGGATATCAGAAAGGAAAAAGTTCTCCCAAATAGCAAGAGCTGATCATCACATTGGTAGAAACCTTCTGGAAGACTCCTTCCTTCTTTCCTTTCTCTTTTTCCTCTTCTTCCTTCCTTCCTTTTTTCATTTTCAGAGCGCATGCACAGAAAATTTTAAATGTTTCTTTCCCTTTAAATTTCCTATAAATGCCAAAATTTATTTATTTCTGAAAACTTGATTTGCTACTTTAATTTCTTTTTTAACTTTTTAAAAATATTTTTATTTATTTTTATGTGGTGCTGAGGATTGAACCCAGTGCCTCACATGTGCGAGGCAAGCACTCTACCACTGAGCCATAGCCCCAGCCCTTCTCTTTTTAACTTTTTGCTGCTTTTATGGACTTCTTTTTTTTCCGGGGGGTGGGGTGGTTTTGTTTGTTTATTTTATAGTACCAGGGATTGAACCCAGGAATACTTAACCACTGAACCACATCTCTAGCCCTTATTTATTTGTTTGTTTGTTTGTTTGTTTTGAGACAGGGCCTTGCTAAGTTGAGGCTGGCTTTGAACTTGAGATCCTCCTGCCTTAGCATTTTCTGTGCATGGGATTATAGGCATGCGCCAGTACATCCATCTGGATTTGGGGTTTAATAAAAAAAAAATAGAGGGATTTGGAAAATAGCTAAGCTAATTCAGTTTGAATATTTTCAACAGGTATTCTCTGAACTGAAGTAAATGAACCCTAAATGAGAGACTTTTTGTGTAGCATACAAGATGAAATCATGAGATCTTTGTGGAAATCATGTGGTTTCTGCATTTTGTGTAACTGGTAGTGAATGGGTGTAAACTCTAGATAGGAGAGTCAAAGCATCTTTATTTCTGTGAAGCTTAGAATTTATCTTTTTGGGGAGATGTTAATGAGCCTCTTAAATTCTGACTTTTTCTCTCTGATTCCATTTGTAGAGTTAAAATGGTCTCTTTCACTCCATCTGACTTTCTCAGGTTTGGAAATAAACTGAGGCTAAAGAGAGCTGTCTGGTGCTTGTTCTTGATGGGTTGGAGGGAATGTCCTGGGCTACAGATCACTTTCCTTTTTGTAACTCTTTGATCTTTTGTCAGCATTTGAGGACTCTTAACTGCTGTACTCAATTATGCCACTTTAGAATTGCCCTGCTATTCTCAATCTCTAATTTGGATAGTTTTTGGACAAGGGACATTTGGCAACAAAATATGCTTCAGTTGCTCTGAGTTGCCTTTAGATATGTTGAAGGATAGCTTGATCTTAACCTGGTTGTCCAGGAACTATGCACCTGCCTGACCTGTTGCTGAGTAACAGGAGAGAGTGGAGGGCTTTATGTGGGCAGCATCATAAAGATAATTTATTTAGTGAATTACCCTGTGAGGAGTTAAGGATGCTCTTAGTAGAAGAAGAGGTTGCTTATTGTAAACAGGCTTCTGGCTGTGGGTCTTTTTTCCCCCTAGAGTTGTGGATGACAACTCTAGAATTTTCTCACATTGAAAGTTATTTAATACAATGGTAGCATTGGCTGATTTTATTTTATTTTATTTATTTATTTTTTTTAATTTTAATATTTATTTTTTAGTTCTCGGTGGACACAACATCTTTGTTTGTATGTGGTGCTGAGGATCGAACCTGGGCTGCAAGCATGCCAGGCGAGCGCGCTACCGCTTGAGCCACATCCCCAGCCCCTCTGATTTTATACATACATGATAGCCAACCTTTATTTTTCCTTTAATTTCGTGACATAATTTTAGACTTTTAGAAAAGTTGCAAGTATTTCCATATACCTTTCACTTAGTTCCTCAAATGTTAATGCTTTATCCTTCTTTGTTTTCATATAAATACCATGTATTTGCATGTGTATGTACATACAGACACATATTTAGTTTTTCTGAAGTGCTTGAGAGTAAATTATAGCCATCCTAACTACTTCGGCATGTGTTTCCTTAAAGACAAAGACAATTTCTTACCCATGTTTCCATGCTCAGAAGTCGGAAGTTAACATTAATTCAGTGCTTATAGCTAATCTATAGCCTTCGTTCACATTTGCAGTTGTGTCTATAATGTTCTTTATAACAAAGAAAATCTCAGACCATGTGTTACATTCAGTTGTCATATCTTTCATATCTGGAAGCTGTTGCTCAGTCCATATCATGACATTGGCATTTTTGAAGCTTATAGGTTAGTTGTTATGTAATATTTCCTTCCCTGGCTGGCTTTGTTTTTGTTTTAAATCAAATTGTGTAGTACTTCATTTTCTGAAAACAATGAAGTTCATAATTATGAAAAGAAGACTAAGGAGTAAAGTTCCTAAGTGGAGATGGGACCAGGGACACAGCAGCCAGACCTGCTGTACTGGGAACCCTGGCAAAGTAGACAGTGACATTGTCTTTCACAGCTGACTTGCAAGGATGCAGCTAGAGTGCAGGTGCTCTGTTTCACAGTCTTCTCCTTTCCTCTTTTAATTGTTGAGAGCTGTGTGTCAGGGACCAACAAAAGGTAATGGTCTTCTCAGCAACATAGAAAGGCCCTGTCTTAAAATAAAAAACTTTAAAAAGGACTGGGGATGTGGCTCAGTGAACTAACGCCCCTGGGTTCAAGTCTGGTTTAAAAAAAAAAAAAAAATGATGATCTCTGGTATATGGTTGTGTTACTGTTCCCTGAACCCCTGCAACAGGCTTTTGAGTTCTTGTTTTAACATTTCATACCAGACCCCACTGGCCTCTAGTTAGCTATGCTATTGTAACAGTGTTTCAGCAATACAAAACTCCTTTTCCCCTTAGGTTTTTTTTCCCCCTCAGCCACACTGGAGAACAAAAACACAGCATGGAATACTGTGGCATACAGAATCAGACCCCCAGATTTGATTCTTGACCCCCCTCTACTGTTAGCTGTGACCTCCACTATGCTGACTCTACAGCATAGAGGTTTTATGAGGATTATACTTACTACTGCCTAATAATTTGAAAATAATGGTGGTAACAGTGCTTACTATATGCCAATCACTGTTCTAAGTGCCTTGTAAAGCTTACTTGATTGAGATACCCTTATTTTTTCAGAACTGCTTTTAGTCTTCAAATTCTTTGGCCCATGTAAGACAGGAAATGGTATGTGTAATGAGAGTATTTCTAATTAATGTCTTTGATTTTTCTATCTAGCTGTTTGATAGTTTAGCAGATAGCAGAGGTTTTCAATCACTACTTATCCAATCAGTTTTCTCCTTTGCTGATCCAACATCTTTCTTTAGGAATAGAATCTGTTGGGAAATTTTACGGGCTCTGTGCTGATTTCAGATTCTAGATATTAAGGAAATGGGAGTGGCAACAGGAAATGGGAGCCAGCAGCTGGGAAACAAGTTTGTAACTTGATGTCAGTGAACTGGTCTTCATTCCTGGAAGTCAAAATTACATGTAACTCATTGGAAGAGCACCCCATTTTGTTTCAGTTTTTCCATTTGTACATTCTTGATATGCAACTGTTCAGAGCTTGAATACTTTCCATTTGGCAGTTATCTAGTAAACATTTTATTTTTTGAAGTGTGACATGGGTGTTCAAAAATTTTAAGTGCCTTAGATATAACTACTTAAACATCTTGACACATAGATTATACAAGTCTGTAAATGATTTAACTTAACTTTAAAAGTTCTTGTGGGCAAGCCCATTTTGTCTCAGTTTTTCTCTTCTGATTCAGGCATGCTCTTTTAATACATCCCAGTCCATAAGGTAGCATATGAACCATGTGATTGGCTTACATTGTTTTCAGGTTGTATTTATTATATTAACTTCAAAAGGAGTCTTACTTCTGATTACTCTTGTGTATTTAAGCCAGTGAAGAAAAAGAAGATAAAACGTGAGGTTAAGATTTTGGAGAACCTTCGTGGTGGAACAAATATCATTAAGCTGATTGATACTGTAAAGGATCCTGTGGTAAGTGGCTGATGGCTGAGAAGTGTGCTAATGGACTGGAGGGGGGGGCAGGGGGCGGGGGGGGGGTGTTGAATATACAGAGCCTCAAGGTGCACAGTGTGTTTACTGGTGAATAGTTTTGAACACCAGACAAAAATCGAGATGGCCCAGTGATAAGGTAGCCACCACTATTTTTATAAGAATATAAAAGGATATTCAGAAAAACCCTTGTCCTGTGTTATCATTATTTTGATTTAGCCCACAAATGTTTGCTGTGTAGCTCCCGTGAGCCTCTGCTTTTATCCTTTTTTTGAAAGCTTATTACTGCCAGTTTGCATTACCTTACCTCACTTAGTAAGCTTGACATTTGAAAACCTGTATTTACCCAAGGAAATACTGGAGTATCTCTGTGTGGACACCTGGCATGTAGAGCTGAGCAAGTCACAGCCCACTAACCCCTTGAGGTCAAGAAGCCTGCTGTATCTCATAACTAGTCTTTAATTCCAGAGTAGATGCTACTAAAAGTTTTACCAATCAAAATAGTTTTGTGAAAATGCTTAATTTTTAGCCATTTTAGATGTGCTGTTTAATTTTGTTTTCTCTCCCTGGGGAGTAACTTAGCCTTAAGTTAGGACACCCACACACTTATATATACACATGTACTTTTATACCACTTTCTATCCCATTTCTGAACTCTGCCTTCTGTACCCCAAATATTTCCATGACTGTTTTCTGTTTATTTAAGAAGTAGGTCTTTGTTTCTGTCTGCTATAGCGCATGTGGTGTAATAGCTAATATGTATTGAGTGCTTATTGCAGGCCAGGCACTTTTCAGAGGATTTAACTATATTGCATCATTTTAAAAAGCCTCAAACAATCCAGAGGGGTATCTGCTGTCATTGTCCACATTATAGTGATAAAAACAAAAGTCTGCAGGAGTAATTTGCCCAAGGTTACACAGTATTGTTGAGTAAGAAAAGGTTTTTTTTCCGGGCTGGGGTTGTGGCTCAAGTAGTAGCATGCTTGCCTGGCATGCGTGAGGCACTGGGTTTGATCCTCAGTACCACATAAAAATAAAATAAAGATATTGTGTCCAGCTAAAGCTAAAAAATAAAATAACTCCTCTTAAAAAAAAAAAAAAAGAAAAGGTTTTTTCCTGTGGACCCTGGAAAGACCAAAAAGGGATGGTTGTATGCCAAAATGTATCTGATTGTCATTCAAAATATAGTCCATCCTGCATGGTGTTGCATGTCTGTAATCCCAGTAGTTGGAAGGCTGAAGCAGAAGAGTCACAAATTTGAGGCCTGCCCAGGCAACTTACACCTGGTCTTTAAAAAAAAAAAAAAATTATTTTTTTCAAAGGACTGGGGATGTAACTCAGTAGTTGAACACTTGGCTAGTGTGTGTGAGACCCTGGACTTGATCCCTAGTATCACCAAAAAATATATATATATTTGTACATATACATCCAGCCTGCTAAGTTCAGACTGATTTAATAATGACTAGCCCAGGGCTGTCTAATGTTTGAAAATGGCCTACATTAAAAATGAGTGTTGCCCATTTTTAAGATATTTTTTTAAAAAGAATACATACATGAAAATATGTGTTTTCAGAATTTTTAAAATGTGAGCCAGTGCCATAACATAGTATACCAGGAGTATCTTTTTTTTTTTTTTTTTTGGGCACCAAGTATTGAACCTAGGGGTGCTTAACTACTGAGCCACATCTCTACCCTTGCCTCGCTAAATTGCTGAGGCTGGCTTTGAACCTGTGGTCCTTCTGCCTTAGCCTCCCCAGCTGCTAGGATTGTAGGCATGTGCCATTGCACCCAGCTCACCAGGAGCATCTTCATTTTTTAAAAAAATTAACAGAATTCAGTATTACTTAGTATATTTGTAATTTGTTAAAGTGTTTGTTTTACTACTTCATAGAACAAATTGGAGTAGATGAAAAGCATCAGGGAATCCTCATCCCCTAAGTTTGAGAGGATCAAACTTAGTCCTGAGTCCATAGAGCATTCTGATTTGGGACAGGTGAAAAATCATTTGTTCGAAGCTGCTGCTTGAGCTGTGCATTGTCCTGGCAAAGACCTGCGTGCGTGCACTGTGCCCTATTTCCTAGGTAACTTTCACCTAGTTCTGAAGCAAATGTTGTCAGCAGTGAAGATTTCCAAGATGGCTTTTTGTCGGTGTTGTTTCTATAACCCAAGCCTCTGCTTTTCTCCTGATTTTGAAACCTTATTACTGCCAATTAGCATTATTTTACTTCTGACATTTTGAAAATCTGTACTTTCATAGGAAGTATTAAACATTTTATACTTATTGCTTTAAAGACTATGGTGCTTTTAAAATTTTGATTAAGTATGATTTTGGGGGGAACATTGTCTTCTAAAGTGAGATATTCTAACTGGGGCAGTAATTTCACGGGGTAACTTATTGATAGTTTCACAGATAGTTACATTTTCTTTTGGAGGTCTTGAAAAGATTTGTAATAGATTCCCAAGACCTATGAAAATTCTGTCAAGTGCATCTTGCTTGCTAAACCTAGATGACATGTGTCACTCCTTTTGTAGTTGGCAAATTGAAATATTGCAGAGTGGAAATCTTCATAAAATCATTGACAGATTGGTTAAGGTCAGTGTGGGTTGCTCAAAAAATACCTTCCTTTAAAAAAAAACAAAAACAACTTTTTATTAAGTAAAATTTTCATTTACAGAAGTAAAGTGAATAACATGACCCTCCTGCACATATCACCAACCTTGTTTCATCTGTACTCACTTCCCCCATCCCACCATAGCTGTATTTTGAAGCAAATTTCAGACGTCATAAAAATTTAAGAAAATATTTTTTTTTAAAGAGAGTGAGAGAGGAGAGAGAGAATTTTTTTAATATTTATTATTTTTTAGTTCTCGGCGGACACAACATCTTTATTGGTATGTGGTGCTGAGGATCGAACCCAGGCCGCACGCATGCCAGGCGAGCACGCTACCGCTTGAGCCACATCCCTAACCCAAGAAAATATTTTTTAACAGACCATCCTTAATGATTGAGTCCCTTTTCATCTTAAATGAAATTTAGAAATGGACCAGTATGGCAAAAACAAATTACATTCATTACTGTCTGAATACCTAAAAAGCATTAATATTTTCTCTTACAGTCAAAGACACCAGCTTTGGTATTTGAATATATCAATAATACAGATTTTAAGGTACGTGTACATTTTCTTTCTAATACAGGGTTGTGGGAGGGTGGAGAGCTGGTGATGAGTACAGCTGGAACTCTAGGACACAGAAGTGCCAGGGATGTCCTTGTGAGAGTAGGAATAACAGATTGGATTCTTTACACAGGAATATAGGGTGCAGAAAGTATTGGATTCTTGCATTTGGAGAAGTTATCACCCTTTGTCTGGCTTACTCTGAGAGTAACTGCCCATCTGGATCTAACCTAATGCTTCCTGTTTTAGACAATAGTTTTATGTGGATGTTAACTTTGATTTTCATAAGAAATCTTACATTGCTGATGGGAGGGATAAAGTGATTTAGGGCCCTTGGGGGGAAAGGTGGTATATTGAATTGGAGATGTGAAATGATGACTGTGTGTTCATATACACCAAGCAAGCAAATCGTACTGAAACCTAATTATTAGGAGTCACTGCTTTAGAGGAGCCCTGTCATGGGATATTTGTATTTTCTTATAATGTGTATTGATTTAGATTTTGAAATGTTCTTTTAAGAGCATGGTTTTGAACTTTTTTGATGAATTTTTTCTTATTATTGTTCAAAAACAATTTTTTTTTTGTGTGTGTGTGTGTGTGAGAGAGAGAGAGTGTGTGAGATAGATGCTAGGGATTGAACCCAGGTCCTTATGCATTTGAGGCAAGCACTGGACCAACTGAGCTATATCCCCAGCCCCCAAAACAAACTATTAACTTCTGATAAGACTTTGGGGTTAGACATACTGGTAGAAACCCATTTTTAGTGCATAATTTGAAAATATAAGTAACAAAATATTGGTGTTGATTTTCAGCAGGATATAAAGGACTTTAGGTGATCATAACTCTGGCACTGAATCAGAGACATGATTTTTTTGCTATAGAAGCTGAAGACAACCAAATCCACCAGTAAAGTTCCTACTATTGGGAGTGGTGCTTTGAGTGAAAATATAAGGAACTTAATCCTCCGTTTAATTTTTCTTAGGTAATTATTCTAAAGTAAAGTTAGTGGAAAATAAGCAAAAGAAAGAAGAAAAATTTTCAGTTATAAAGTAATAAGTAGCAAGTTTTATATACCACATAGCATTTTCCATGGGTAACTGATATTCCTGTTAATGTGAGTCACTACAGATGAAATCTTCAATGAACTCTAAAAAGTGGGATGTAAGCTGGGTATTGTAATGCATCACACCTGTATTCCCAGGTACTCAGGAGACTTAGAAGAAGAATCCCTACTTTGAGGCCAACTGGACAATATAGTGAGACCCTGTCACCAAAAAAAAAAAAAAAAGGCCAGGAAGGGATGGTGAATCTCTTCCATCCCGTAGCAGAGGATTTAGCTGGTAGAGTACTGTACCATGTAGCCAATCCTGTGAATCACCCAGGTCTGTCAAGATGTACATGAGTGGGAATGTGTATTCCTGTCCTAGAGTGCCAGACAGACTTTGATAAAACCATTTTCCTAATGCTGAAATTTAAAAACTGCTCACAATGCAGCATCATAGTGTAGATCCCTTCGATTAAAATACCTGTGCTTTATTAATGAGTTTTTACCAGCTGTCTGGTCACATGTGTAAAATTTCACAGCAGTATTTTGTGTTTCTTAAAAGTGACATCTGTCTTCCTGGTTGATGTTAACAACATGGAGATCAGTTAGCAGGAATTCTTATTCCCTGGGAAATTGTATTACTCTGTGTGGGACTTGAAGCCTGGGGTTTTTTGAAGAAGACACACATTCTCCTTCTTTAAAAGGTCATTGGGATCAGTGTTTTTTGATGCATACATCTCTAAATATATCTGTAATTTATCCTTTTGATTTGTAAAGAATTCTAGATTGAAATTCAGAATTTCCTCCGTTTTGAAAAGATTGTTCCAGTATTACCAGTAAAGCCATTCCAGTTGTATCTGATGTGATTTTTTTTTCCCTTGAAGATTTTAGGATTTTCTCTTCATTCCCAGTCTTCTGAAATTTCACAATGATGTGCCTTCCTGTGGGTTCCTTTTATCTTTTGTTCTGGATGCTTGCTGGGTTTTTTCTAAAAATTCATGTTCTTCATTCTGGGAAAATATTTTTAATGTTCTTTGATTTTTCTCCCCTTTCTTCTTTGTTCTCACTTTCTAAAACTCATTCAAATGTTAGACTTCATATCTTAGAAGTCCATTTCAATTTTTGAACTCTTTAAAAATAGTCTTTTTCTTTTATGTTTTATGTAATAGCTTTATTCATACCTTTTCTCTATTTTTCTTCCAATTGCTTTGTGATTATTATTTGTATCTATGATAATTGTTTGAAATATTATGGTTCATATTTTGGAGTAATGCTCTAAAAAGCAGTCGCTTCTATCTCAAGAACACAGCTTAGCCCTGTGTCTGCTGGCATCTTAGTCTCAAGTTGATGAGAGCTATGGGGGGTGTTAAGAGACTTACACTTAATTCCTCGTTTCCAGTGTGGTCTTTAAACCCATTTTCTGTTTTCAACTCACTCTGTTTACTCTCTTTCATCCTGAGCCTTTCTGTAGTTCTTCAGTTTGTAGTTTTATATTCTGGGCCTAATTCACTATTAGCAGAATTTTTAGCTTTTTTTGGTCTGTAGAATTAGCTGGACATTTCTAGCTTTGGAGTGTCGTCTCTTCCTCCCTGAGTTCTTGAGAGTTCTCTCTCCTTTTACTGTTATTCCCCCGCTCCTTAGATTGTTATTTTAGAGGAGCTTCAGAAAGAAGCAGAGGTGTTTGATATGTCATGTTTAACTGGAGGTCCCCTTGAATGTTCAAGTCATGATATTTTAGTTCACTTACAAGATTATTAAATATCAGGTAGTAGGTATGTATTTTGAAAGAGCAAAATAATGGCAGGAGAGTTACTTCTTTTCCCCAGATAGTATGATAGGCATAGTCTGTTGGTTTAATGTCCTAATGTCCTTCAGGCTTATGTGTCTATCTTACTAGGAAAGTCTGTTTCTATTTTTTTTGTTTGTTTGTTTTAACATAAAGGATATTGATAATTGTTTTTAAGGTGTCACCCAGAGAGTTTGTCACTGGCGTAAGAACAGGATAAATCAACAGTGGTGGCAGCTGGGGATGCATCTCAGTGGTAGAGTGCTTGCCTAGCATGTATATATAAGGTCCTGGGTTGAGTCCCCAGCGTGGAGTGGGCGGGATACTACAGCTGCAGCCCATTCTTTTTAGTACTTTTTATTGGCACAATTAATAATTAATTTCCTTTTATTGTTAGAGTCCTCTGATTTTGTATCAAGGTTATACTAACTTACAAATTGAGTGGCATTTTCTTGTTTTAATCTCTGAAATTACATATAAGAGAGGTAAATCCAGGTAGGTGTCTGTTAGAGTTGGGAGGAAAACTTTGGACTGTACATTCCTTTTAAAAATATTCTATAGGGGGCTGGGATTGTGGCTCAGAGGTAGAGCATTCGCCTAGCATACATGAGGCACTGGGTTCTATCCTCAGCACCACATAAATGTAAAGACATTGTTTCCACCTATGACTAAAAAAAAAAAAAAATAGGTTAAAGTCTTTCAAGGTTTTCTCTTCACAGTCTGTTTGGATAATATTTCTAAAGTTATTCACTTTAAACTTTATTGTCATGAAGTTATTGATAAAATTCTCTTTAAGACTTAAAAACTCTATCTGTAGTCAGGCTTTCCTTTAAATTTTAAACATTATCCATGCTTTTGTTCCCTTTTTAAAAATTTTTTAGGTAAACCTTGCTAGATCTAGATCTCCTACCCTTTCAAAGAACCAGCTTTTGGATTTATTGTTCACCTGTTGTTCTTGTTATTTTTTGTATTTCATTCTCTTTCTTCTCCTGTCTTAATTGTTTTTATTCCTTCAATTTTCTTGGGCCTCCACTGGTTTTTCCCTGACTGCTTGAGTTGGAGTCAGCTCATTTGATTTGTTTCAACTTTCCTTGATTCATAATACATGTGCTTAAGTTTATATAACCTCAAGCACCATTTTAGTTGTATTCCATGGTTGTTGAACTCTATTTCTAGATAGTTGTTCAAATTATAAATGCAAATTCCAAACTTGAGGATTTGGATTTTACCTTCTAGACTTTTTCCATTAGAAATTTTATTTTGCCATATTTGCAGTTATTTTTCTTCCTCCCCTTTCTATCTCTTTGTCTTTTTGCTGAGTCATCTTGAAGCTGCAGAAGAAAAAGTATCATCATGATATTCCTCCACTCCTGAAGATGTCAGCACTGGCATCAGGTCATTCTCCTGCATAACCACAATGCCATTCATATACCCAAGAAATTTAATATTTATGATAATGCCATCTAGTATCAAAATTTCACCATAATTATCCCAGTAATATCCTTTCTTCCTATATGCTTGTGAGTTTGTAGGGCAGAATCCAACTGTTTTTTTTTTTTTTAGAAAATTATTATTTTATTGTTGATTCCTAATTTGATGGCACTGTGTCCAGAGAACATGATCTATACAGGTGAACATCCTTAATCTAAAATAATCCACAGTTCAGAACTTTTATAAGTACTTATGTGATGCCATAGGTGGAAAATTGAAATCACCATGAAATAGAGTTTCATGCACAAGATTATATAAAGTATTGTATAAAATTACATTTTTATACAGTCTCTGTGTAAGGTGTATGTGATACAAATGAATTTCATGGTTAGATTTGAATATCCCCAAGGTGCTTTCTTATACCTACACAAATATTACAAAATCTGAAAACTGAAACATTTCTGGTCCCAAGGATTTCAGATTAAGGGAACTTCAGCCTATATAATGTTGATTATTTGAAATCTATGATCTTTGCTTTGTGACTTTAGTGCATGGTCATTTTTTATGCCATACTTGTTAGTTCAGTTGTTAGCCTTGACTTTTCTCTTATATGTTAAATCGGGAAGAAATGAACTGTTCATAGGTCATTAACATTGTTTTGTCATTTTCTTGTAAGACTTCAAGAAAATAAGTGATGTTTTTAGTTTACTTATTTGTTCCATTACAGATTTGTTCTAGTTCCCTAAATTTCTAGAAATGTAGGCCTTGGTTTTGTTCTACATTTTGGAGGTTACAGGTTAACAACAGCTAAACTGATAACTGTGATGTTAAACACCTCTTTCACTTTCACTTTAAATCTCTCCCTTCCCCCCATGTGGCCAGCCCTGGAAATTATGGACATAGGGCTGGGCTATATGAGGGAATGCCTACTCTGCTGGCTAAAAGTTCATAAAGCACGAAGGCCTCCCAAATGACAGTTGGGCATGGGCCTTGATCTGGCCTTTATCTCCTTAAGACACAGCTGCATCTGAAGAGCTGCCTGTACATGCAGCAGGAATGAGAGAGATCCACTGGTGGCCATCCTATGGTGTCTGTGGCTTGAGACCCAGGAGGCCCTGAGCCAGATGATCAAGTTGCAGCATCTGCCATTTTCTTCCTATCTGCCCCCTCTCCCTCCTTTGTGTGGTGGTATTGGGGATTGAACCCAGAGGCACTCTACCACTGAGCTATATCCCCAGCCCTTTTTATTTTTTGTTTTTAGACAGGGTCTTGCTAAGTTGCTGAGGCTGGCCTTAAATTTGGAATCTTCTTACTTTGGCCTCCTGAGTTGCTAGGATTACAGGTATACACCACCACACCCAGCCACCTTGAGCCCTTTAGAGCAGTCCTGTAGTGGAACTGATTTCTAGAGAAATATCAGTGTATTTGAGAATTTGCAGCCAAACCAGGACCAGTGAATAGTTTCTTCATTGGTACCATCATAATCTTTCTGGAAGCATTGGCTGTTTTTTTTTTTTTTGGGGGGGGGGGGGTTTTTTTTTTAAATATTTATTTTTTAGTTGTAGTTGGACACAATACCTTTGTTTTATTTATTTTTATGTGGTACTGAGGATTGAACCCAGGGCCTCACACTCGATAGGAAAGCACTCTACCACTGAGCCACAACCCCAGTGTTTTGTTTCTGATAAGTCTTTCTATGATTATGTGAGCAAAGCTATATTCCTGCCAATATTTACAGTTTGTTGTTTAATAATATTCTACACATAGCTAGAGGGAAATTATGGTTCTTTTGGAGTTTCCCTTTTGAATTTGTTATGGACTCTTCTAGGTTTTTTCCTTGTTTTTTTTTTTGTTGTTGTTGTTGTTGTTTTGTTTTGTTTTGTTTTTTGGGTTTTTTTTTTTTTTTTTTTTGTGTGTGTGTGTGTGTGTGTGTGTGTGTATGTGTGTTAGGGTTTGAACCCAGGGCCTTATGCATGTGAGGCAAGAGCTCTACCAACTGAGCTGTATCTCCAACCTCTTCTATTTCTTGAAAAAGAGCTTCTGTTTTGTTCCATTGATTAGTGATCATTATAAAAACATGTGCAGAGAACCACCATACTTAGTGTGGAGTAGATAAAGTATATGCTATTCTATATGAGGATTAGAAGATGGTTGAGGAGTATGGAGAAAATGTGTGTGGTACCCAGATATAGAGTGGACCCTCAACATACTGGGAGGGTAGGGAGAGTTCAGAGGTCTTGAATCACCAAACTTGTGACCATCAGCTGCTGCAGTACCCATCTCCCCTCATCATGTGTGTGTGGCATGGTACCCAGGGAGTGCTGACATGAGGCTCTTGAAGTGAAGCAGGCTCATGTTTACAACAGTGAAAATTTACCTTGAGAACTTTGGGTTATTGCCATTTCTTGGTCATCCAAGTGAAGAATGTTAACCCTGGGGACACTAGTTATGTTAGTTTCCTTTGACCACCACAGATTGAGAACAAATGGCCTGGGAGTTCAGAGAAGGGTGAGACCACTGTCATTCTGTAAAAATCGGATGGGATGGGTTTGATGTTGCATGTTAAGAGCAGGGAGAGGGCTGGGGATGTGGCTCAAGCGGTAGCGCGCTCGCCTGGCATGTGTGCGGCCCGGGTTCGATCCTCAGCACCACATACCAACAAAGATGTTGTGTCCGCCGAGAACTAAACAATAAATGTTAAAAATTCTCTCTCTCTCTCTCTCTCTCTCTCTCTCTCTCTCTCTCTCTCTCCTCCCTTCTTCTCTCCCCCCCCCCCTCCCCCCCCCCCCCCCCTCAAAAAAAAAAAAAAAAAAAAAAAGAGCAGGGAGAGGGAAGAGTAGAGGTAGCCAGCTCAGGTCGTGTGGTCAAAGACGGGGACTCCTGGGAGTTGGAATGGAGATCAGAGCTACAAAAGTTAGAGGAAGCAAGAGTGGACCCTGGAGAGGCCCAAATTTTAGACCCAGGAAGTTAAAAGTTACAGATAATGTTCTGTGTCCTTCCTCTTAGAGCTCCTGAGAAGGAAGGATGAAGTACAGTTGTCCAGTACTTTGTGATATATTAGGTCTAAGCACTATTGCATAGCTGATATCTTTTGTATTAAGTAAAATTGATACTGACTAGAATAACTAGAGATATTATGTCAGTAGTCCAAGGACATTAGTTTTTATGCTTTATGCCAATTACACAGATGCATGGTATATATACCACATAATATGAGAGGAAGTCCAAACAAAATAGTTCATATTGGTTTTCTGGAAGTAAAATATTCTAGTTCTTCAAGGCTTAGAGAATTTGATCTTTTCTCTTTCACAGGCTATTTATTGACTTGATGTTCAGTTTAGAACAGTCTCTCTGAGTGATCTTCCTTAACACCCAAGATGGTATCTTAAGCCTGCGCCTGCACATTCCAGCTGTCGGTTGTGGCCGAGTGCTAGCTAAGAAGCCTCCCTTGCAGAACAGAGCAGCAAGAACAAAAAACCTGAGATATGGTTGTTATGGAGCTGAAGCTCTCCTGAGTAAAAATAGTGGCTTATTTGTGTCACTTAGCTCCAATGCATTTCAGCCCCAACCAGGGTCGGCCGTCAGCTCTGGAGCAGCTTCAGGACACTGCCAATGTACTGGTCTATGCCTTTTAATTCCCTGCCATGCCCTGAGCTAGCAGCTGTCTGAGGTTGATGAAGTCATATATTCTCACTAAGCTGGGAGAGTTACCCTTTCCTAAAAGGGGAATAAAAGTGGAAGTGTGGCCTATTCTCCCCTATACATACTCATGAAATAACTCCTGTATCATTCTACAGATATATGGTCTTATCTTTCCCTTTACATAGATACATTGTGTATGTTGTTCTGTGTTCCTTGAAGAGATTCCCTACACTGCTTGAGTCTTCTAGGCTTCATAAAGGCATTTGGTTAATTTTTATACAAATTGCTGCCTAGATTGATGGGAAAAGAGATTTATTTGGAATTGATTAGATATCAAAGGTAATAGTATAGTTTTTGACAAGAATCTATGATGCTTTTAATGAATCTTGTGCTCTCAGAAGAGAAATGTTTTTAGAACTTCAGTGGGTGGGTCTTTGGATTATCAGTAATAAAAGTTTTCATCTGTTTGTCGTTTGGCCTGTGATAATTTTTGGCACTCCATCTTTTTCTTTTTAATGCCTCACTCCACTCCTTTTTTCTTACCCACAAGACATCAGTTTTTGCTTGTGAAACATTCTTTTCCAGCCTGGAATTGATTTGAGGGGCAGGAATGGATGTTTGTAATCTTTTGCCATCTCTGAATGGAAGAGCAACTCATTGTCCTCAAGTTTCTTTCACAAACAGTTCAATATTAACAACTGTTATGCCATAAACTTCATCAGCTGATGAAGTTCTTCAGAACTCAGTTCTTCAGAGTACACTGTGGTGCTGCAGGGCGGTTGGTTTGATTAATTGCAATAAGAATACGAGGACATGGGCTGGGGTTGTGGCTTAGCGATAGAGTGCTCATCTAGCACATATGAGGCCCTGGGTTCAATCCTCAGCATCACATATAAATAAATAAAATAAAGGTATTGTGTCCAACTAAAAAAAAAGAATATGAGGACAATTGGACAATGTAGACTTCACAATAAAGTAACTGTGCTTATTAAAATCACAGAGCATAAAATAACCAAAAATCCAAGTTGGCTTACCTGTTTTCCTCCCATGAAATTTCTTTTGCGTTTTTTTGTTTTGTTTTGTTTTTCTGGTCTCTTTTGAAGATTGAAATATTTCTAATGTCATTCTTCATCTTTACCATTTATTCCAAATCGGGTAGTAAAATGTCTGTGGGGTTCCTTAGTATCTTAAGCACTAAGTTTGCAGAGAATGACTGACACTTGGGATGACAGGTCCCAATGAGACTAAACTAACTTTGTTTTCTGAAATCTGTTTCAGCAACTCTACCAGATCCTGACAGACTTTGATATCCGGTTTTATATGTATGAACTACTAAAAGTAAGTAACATTCATAAACAGTGAAGTTTTTCAAGTTCATCTATTAAAGAAGCTTTTGAAAGGACAGAGAGACCTCAAGCAGAATATTTCTTGAGGTTTAACTTTTGTGGCCTCCATCATGGAATCTCACATAGAAATTTCCGTTGGAAGGCTGGGGTAGTAGCTCAGTGGTAGAGCGCTTGTCTAGCATGTGTAAGGCACTGGATTTGAGTCTCAGCACCACATACAAACAAACAAATGAAATAAAGATCCATCAACAACTGGGGGAAAAAAAAGAAGGAAGAAATTTTCCATTGGAACTGGGAAAGATGGGCAAGTCAAAGGGTACAAGGGTCATTATACCAAATATTAGAATCTCATAGTTGTTTGGGGTTTTTTTGTTTTGTTTTTGTTTTTGGGGGGTTTTTTGCCCTTGGATTTTCTCTTTGCCACTTAATACTTACTATTTGTTTTCTCTGTATAACAGATAACCCCAGACGTAATGACTTTTAAAAATCATTTATCATTCCTCATAATTTCATGAGTTAGCTATGTGATTTTTTAGGTCTGGGTCAACTTGACTGGGTCAAGATGTCCTCATTTACATCTGGGACCTCAACTCAGGCAATTGGGATAGTTGAGGTCTCATCCTCCAGGAGTTAGTTCAGGTCCACCTAGAGTCCCATGGTAGTCTCTAGGTTAATATAGGGAAAAGTGGTGGGTGGATCTTCTAAGTGACTTACTAATCCCAAACACTTTGAAATTTTGAAGCATAACTGGTTGATGGAGGAGTGATCATTTTTAGTTTGACAAGGTAAACACTTAAGCTAAGAATTCTAAAATGCTATAAACCAGTGGGTCCTATCTTCTTAGGGTCCTGGATCATTAAGAACCTGATAAAAGCTGTGAACCCTCCTGTCAAAGTACATCTATAAGTATACAATATTGCCTAAAACTTTAGGGGGATATAGATCTCAAGAACCTCTGAAAGAAGATAGATGACAAAGGTCATAATTGAAGAAAATTGCCAAGGTGGGGTTTTGATGGGATTGTGAAGAGTGTGAATCAAAGTACTAGTCCTTGGCATGCACCTGTAATCCCAGCAGCTTGGGAAGCTGAGGCAGGAGGATCGAGTATTCAAAGCCAGCCTCAGCAAAATCGAGGCACTAAGCAACTTGGTGAGACTCTGCTTCTAAATAAAGTACAAAACAGGGCTGGAGATGTGACTCAATGGTCGAGTGCTCGAGAGTTCAATCCCGGTTACCAAAAAAGAAGAAGAAATGGATGTTTTCTAACTACTTGCACAGACCACATGACATTAGAGAGAACCACAGTGGTGTATTTGGGGGTTCATTCATGTCTACTGGGTTTCCTTTGTGTAAGTAGAAAGATGAAGGAGGTAGCACTTGATTGACCCCATCTTTCTCGTCCTTTCTAGACTAGAATTGAAGCTTTATAGTGTGGAAGAGGTTTGTATTGCCATGTCCTATGAACTGTCAGGCTAGCCCTTCCTTGAAGGTCTTCCCAGAAAATTCCATGCACTTTTCCCATGGGAGCTATAGTCCAAATCTCACAGGTGGTTATTAAATCCAGTATTGAGATTTTGCAGTTTTTAGCTAGCACCAGCAAAATAACGATTTATAACCTAGCACATTGGTCCTTAGGTCAGGCAAAGGAAGGCACCCCTGTAATATAGGTTTTTACAGGATAGCCAGGCAGATGTCATTCAGTGCTCACCTAAGTCCTGCTTTCTGGAGACTGGAATAGGGCATGTTTCTTTCTGCTAATAAAGCATAGATTCCAAGTGAAACTTGAAAAACATCTTTCATGCTTAATGGTCAGAAACTGTACCAGATTTTAAAAGTGAAATAATTCCCCAAGGAATTTAAAAGCATGTCAGTAACTCCACAGGGAGTCTGACTGGTGAACTTGGCAAGAAAATTAATTACCTCGCTGTATTTGTTCAGCCTTTGCTTTCATCAGGTATCTTTTACATCTAGGTATTGTGGTTCTTATTGGTTTATTTCTGTTGGCACACTAAGCAAAACAACAGAATCAACATTGCTAAATTTTCTCTTTGGGGAAAAATACAGGAGTTGGGTAGAGGTGATATTTAACTTCATTGAAAATATAAAAGAAATTGAGGCTGAGGGCTCCATGTGACTCAGCAGGAGTTCCCTGAGGCTCTGCAACAGAGTCTGATCTGATTCAATTTGAGGGAGATCAGCCTTTCATGACCCTTGATTTCCTAAGGCACTGTCTCAAAGGCACTTGAGAATCTTGCTACAACTATTGTAAAGCAAAGAAAAATATTAAATTGAAATAGAATGCAAGTGAAGTGAATAAGTCTTAAGTGCACAGAATTTTACATTTTACGTAAGTAAAACCTTCATGCAAATGTATGTAGGACCATACTATGCAATATGGTAGCTGCTACTCATAGGTAGCTGTTTCAATTAAGTAAAATGAAGAATTCAGTTCCAGGCTAAGGATGTAGCTTGCCTTGCATATACAAGGCTCTGGGTTCGATCCCCAACACCTGGGGGGAAAAAAGATTTCAGTTTGTAGTCATAGTAGTCACATTTCAGGTGCTCATTTCATGTGACCTGTGGTTACTATATTGTTCAGTGCATACAAAGACATTGTTCCAGAAAGTTCTGTTGGACCAGGGCTGTAGAAATATTATAAACATCCTGGAAGATTCTCTTGTCCACTTCATTTTCATATTTCCTCCTCTGGAGATATTGTTCTTACCTCTACCATCACAGTTTAATATTACTTGGTTTTGATCTTTTGATCAAATAAAAAGCATTATACATTGCACAGCCTTGTGTGTAGGGAAGGCAAAGTCAAGACCAGCTTGTTCTGGAGTGCTGATCCTGGGGTCATTCTCTGGATTATGTATTCTTTAGAACAGTGTCTGTCTTGGTCTGTTCAGAGTTTCCTAATCAGGTTGAGTTTGTCCCCCACAGGGGAGTAGTTGGCAGTATCTGGAACCATTTGTATTGTTAAAACTGGAAGCAGGGCTGGGGTTGTGGCTCAGTGGTACAGCGCTTGCCTTGCACACCTGAGGCCCTGGGTTTGATCCTCAGCACCACATAAAAATAAATAAGTAAATAACAAAAGTTTGGTTTGGTTTGGTTTTAATGGAAGCAGAGGTGGATATTGGCATCCAGCAAGTAGAGCCCAGTAATTCTGCTTAACATTCTCTAATACACCAGGTAGCACCCCACAATAAATTACTTGATCCAAAATGTTAATGCTGAAGTTGTGAAAAATTCCACATGAAAATTTCCACAAAGAGCACTCACTGGTATGCACATGGTAGTTTTCATATGATTATGGCTGCTGTCACATTACTTAAAGAATATATATATCATTGACCTCGTGCGACCTTTCAGTGCTTTTAATACAAGCCAAGGATCCTATCTTTGAAATTTATGGAAATAATTAATTGTGTTAGGAAGAGAAATCTAACAGATTTTTATGTTTAAAAAAAAGAGAAAGTTTTCCACATCTCATTAGTTTATTCCTTTGGCAACAACTATGCAAAATAGCAGAATCAAAAACTTTTAAAAATGTCTTTCATGGTAGTGGTCAGATAACGTACCAAATTTGAACAAAGATTTGAGTAAATATTTCTCCAAAGGCAGACTATCCAGTAAGCACATGAAAAGACATTCAACTTCATTCATTCATAGGAAAAGAGAAATCAAAACTACAATGAAATATTACTTTGTACCTATTGTAATAGCTATAATTTTTTAAAAAATGAACAACGACAAGTACTGGTAAGAATATAGAGATGCTGAAATCCTTATTTATTGCTGGTGGGAATACAAAGTGGTGCAGCCACTATGAAAGATAATTAGGCAGTTCCTTAAAAGTTAGGTGTAAATTTACCATACAACCTAACACTTCTGTCACTAGGAATCTACCCAGGAGAAATGAAAGCATTTGTCTTTCAAAGACTGTACATGAATGTTCATAGCATCTTCATTCTTAACAGCCAAAAAAGTAGAAACAATCCAAATGTTCACCAGCTAGAATATTCATAAAATGAACTGCAAGAAAATAGCAGTATGAGTGAATCTCAAAAGTATTATACTGGGCCAGGTATGGTGGCTCATGCCTTTAATCTCATTGGCTCAGAAGGATCACAGGTTCAAGACCAGCCTGGACAACATAGTGAGTAGAAATCTAGCTCAGTGTTGGAGCACTTGCCTAGCATTCATGAGGCCTTGGGTAACGCACACACACACACACAGAGGAAATCTTCAGTAACTGATACAAAAAGGGATTATGAAATGAAAGAAAGTAGAGTACTGCACTTTAATCATGTCATTTTATTAATGTTCAGAGGTAGCAGAAAACAGGTGGGGCATATTTGGGAATGGGGATTGACTGCAAACAAGTTCAAGGGAAATTTGATAGAGGGGGATTCTAAAACTAGATTATGGTGAGCGTTGCACAGCTCTCTAAATTTACTAAAAATCATTGACTTGTATACTTTAAAATCTTTTTATCAATTATAGGAAATAACTGTTCCCCTTGAGCAATAATATTGATAGCTGTTAAAGACCAGCTGGCTTTAACTACTATTTAAGGAAAATATTAATGTTTTTTAATCTAGAAGACCCACAAAGACCAGCCATGTTCATGTCCACATGGATTCTGGAATCTCCTTTGAGCCACTATGAGAGGTGGCTCTAGCTGGGTTTCCAGAACTGGTTTCATCCCCCCTTTTAAAGAAACCTTCAGCATGGCCCTCTGTAGCTCCCTTTCTATCAGCTTCCCATTGTTGTATTCATAGAGAGTAAGGAGCATTCTCCAAAAGCATGTTTTTCCCTTTCCTTATAGGCAGTAAACTGCCCCTTGGGAGACCATATTCACATCAAAGTGTCACAAACAAAATAATAAGAATGTACTTGCATTGGGGGGGCGGTAGAGGGTTTGCTTACTTTTCTCTGTGCTTTCTTACCTAATAGGCTCTGGATTACTGCCACAGCAAGGGAATCATGCACAGGGATGTGAAACCTCACAATGTCATGATAGATCACCAACAAAAAAAGGTACCATTACAGCCAGGCAGCAACAAGCCTTCATTAGAAGGCTTAGGGCCAACCTAAAGCTGCCCCTACCAAGATGGTTTTTGTAGCCATGCTATTTCCTATGACCAACTTGTGTCGCTGTCGTTTGTCCAGTCTCTAGCATTGTTTTCTACTGGGAAAATGGACAGATGACCTGACTGTAGTCACTTGTTTTATTTTGGTCTTAGTTTTCCAAAGGGCCTCAGAAAAAGAAACTACAGCTGGTGGTTTCTGCTTCACTTCTTAATGACCCTCAGACCAATCTGCCTGGCCTTAAAAGTACACTTGGGGCCCTCCTAATTTTGATATCCAACTCTGGTTGTCCCTGATTGGTGAGTAAATGAATCAGCTAGTATTAGACAAGCTAGAGCCGTGCTTCAGTCCTGGGGTGGGCCATGTGTTCCCAACCCTTCTAGTTATTCCTGGAGCTTATGATGAAATCTCTGAGTGATGGGGCAGTGTGATACACATGTAAGTAGAATGGAAGCAGAAAAAAAGGTTGAGCTCTATTGATTTAGAATGATTTTTAAAAAGCATTCTGAGTGCTCTGCTCCAGAAATGACCTCTTTACTTTTGCTGAAAATGTAATTGTTTAACAGTATACCTGCTCACATTTTTTGTGTGGCTAAATAGTTGTTATCAGAAATGTGATGTGGTCTTGCCCTAGGCATAGGAATCTAGAAACACTCTTTTCACATGTTTTATTCTGTCATGTTTGTAGCTGCGACTGATAGACTGGGGCCTGGCGGAATTCTATCACCCTGCTCAGGAGTACAATGTTCGTGTAGCTTCGAGGTACTTCAAGGGACCAGAGCTTCTTGTGGACTATCAGGTGAACTTGGTAGCAAGGCTGCTCTGGGTTGTTTTGGTACTTACTGAGGGATTTTTCTGCTTTGTTATTTATTTAGTAAGTTGCATATATTCAATTATTCAGTTCTCAGTCATTATTCCACCCCAGAATGCTAGTTGCAGATTTTTCTCAACAGCTTTTTTTTTTTTTTTTTTAGGAGGAAGAAGTAGTTTTTAATTCTCAACTGTCTTCAAAGTTCACATAAAGACTAGAAACTCAGATCAGAAAAGTGGGTTTCTAACATCCTTGTCTGACTGATTGTCTTTATTTCCTCAGATGTATGACTATAGCTTGGACATGTGGAGTTTGGGCTGTATGTTAGCAAGCATGATCTTTCGAAAGGAACCCTTCTTCCATGGACAGGACAACTATGATCAGGTGAGCAAAAAGCCATCTGGCTCTTACATGTTTGGGGATGAATGTCAAGAAAATAGTGTACTTAGAATATTCTCCTTGAGCCACTGCATGTCACTCAGTGTGTACATATAACCCTCTTTTTAAAGTTTAGAATTTCTTAGACTTTTGTCTGAGGTTATGAGGTCCCAACAATACAGATAATGCTCTCTTTCTTATGAAAAAGTCAGGTACCTCCTTTATCTAGATTCTAGTTATTAGATTGTGATAAACCCCATAATTGTTAGTTTCTAGAAGACTACTGTCATAAGTTATGTTCTCCCTTTAAAGGCAGTTTGGAAATTTGCATTCATGTGAGCCTCATGTCCTTGAGTCTTTTGGCCAGTCCTAGACTCAGATCTCTGCCTGGTCCCTGGAGATCAAGTGGTATGGAATCTTCCAGTTCCCTGGCCCAGCATCCTCACAGGCTCACAGTGAGTTCTGTGCTCAGTGATTTGGTAGTTTGTTTTGTGTTTCAGCTTGTTCGCATTGCCAAGGTTCTGGGTACAGACGAGCTGTATGGGTATCTGAAGAAGTATCATATAGACCTAGATCCACATTTCAACGATATCCTGGGACAGTAAGTAAGAGAGAGAGAAAGAAAAAGGGCTTTGCCTTACCCAGTTTCAAAAGTGGGAAGGTTAGCCAAAATCATTCTTTCCCTTTCTAGTTACATCAAATTGAAGTATCTTTTTTTTCTTTCTTTTTTTTTTTTTTTTTTTTTTTTTTTTTTTTTTTTTTTTTTTGCTGTACTGAGACTGAACCGAGGACCTCTCAGACATGCTACACAAGCACTGTACCACTGAGCTATCTGCCCGGTTCTTTTTATTTATTTATTTTAATATTTATTTTTTAGCTATAGTTTATTTATTTATATGTGGTGCTGAGGATCGAACCCAGGGCCTTGCATGTGCTAGGTGAGTGCTCTATCACTGAGCCACAACTCCAGCCTAGTTCTTTTTATTTTGAGACAGGGTCTCACTGAGTCATACAGGCTTACCTCAAACTTAAGATCCTCTTATCTCAGCCTCCTAAATTTCTGGGATTACAGGTGTGCACCACCATATCTCGTTGCTATGTGTGTTTTCTTTAAATTATTTTGAAGTATTTGGACATAGTTTATATTTGTCTTCTAGTTCTTTTATTTCTTTATGAGATAATCTGTATCAATAGAAAATGGAAGACAAAATCATAATGTTACAGAAAAAAGCTTTCTGGTACAGCATATGCATTAATTTTAATGACAAATCTTGGAAAGCTGTGTTTCTTCTTTGAATAAGAAACTGATAGTTTCTTGTTTTCTAAAATAGATTTTCTATAAGGTAACAAGTTTTATAGCATTGAGGTTTTTGGTACAGTGCAGTAGTTTTAAAGGAAATGCTTGATTGACAGTTTTCAAACATTCTTTTATATTTGGAGCTACCATGTTTCTGTGGCCAGTACTTTAAATATGTCTTCTGATTAGCACAATTACTCAGTTTCCACCATGCCTGACCCAGAATGAATGAAGAACCTGAGGCATTAAAAAAAGTCGAGAAAACTCTACAAATTCTAAATCAGATGTCCATGTTCTAACTAATTCTGCTTATCTAATTACAGAACACTGTTTTCTGTCAGTATATTGTGATGTGACTGGTGGGTAGAGTGGGTACCAGGAAAAATGAGATTTAACAAGTTGTAATCATTGTAGAATTCTAAGATTGTGCTGGCTTTAGCCATAGTAGAGGAGGATTCTTGTTGAGTTTAGTCTCAATCCTAATGTTTCAATACTTTGTTTTCAGACATTCACGGAAACGCTGGGAAAACTTCATCCACAGTGAGAACAGACACCTTGTTAGCCCTGAGGCCCTAGACCTTCTGGACAAACTTCTGCGATATGACCATCAACAGAGACTGACTGCCAAAGAAGCCATGGAGCACCCATACTTCTGTAAGTCTCCAGGGACTTTTTAGGGGGTCTAATTTATTAAAGGGAAAAAAAATCTTTCACATCTTTGAGGCCTGTTAAGGAAAATCTAGGTGTTTGGCATGGATCATTCTTAGAACTAGTCCTCATTCATTGTAGTCATTGAAACAACTTTCAAGACCAGATTTTTGATCCCCAAAGGCATTTACTCATTCACCAGCTGTAGTTCCCTTGAGTCCAGTCTTTTTGGCCCCTCCTGTCACCCTGAGAAAGACATTCTAAGTATCTAAAATTTGTTTTCAAATGTTATATTTGTGGGGAAACCTAATCAAAGATTTCTCCCCTCAAAACACAAGTAATTGGCTAAAAGTAATAAGATAACCATAATGAATTTCTAAAGCAAGCAGTAGATAAAAGAGATTTGAAGGAAGACCTCACTAGGATCTAACTGGATTGCTTACCTGTGTAACCACGTGTGGTTGAGGTTCTGTGGGCACGTGGTTTTTCCCACTGATAAAGTGTTTCAGATATACTTTCCCTGTGTTATTAGCAATGTGAGATTTCATCCAGTTAGAGAGGAAAATGGAGAATAAGGAAATGAAGTGACTAGTGACTTACTGCAGTTCACCCTCTGAATCGAGATGAAAACTCTTATTCCGTGAAGTTTTTGTCTGTTGTTAGACCAGCATGCTATCTCTCCCTCTCCTTCCTGCCCCCACCCAGAACCCTATCACCACCCCATTATTCCCAGCCTGAAGGTATACTGCTGTGGTCTTAGACCTAGGGAAGTAAGTACCGGGAGACAGCAGAGTTAAAAGGTCTTAACCCTTCAGCATTCTGGACCCCAGACAGTGGAATTCAGATGTTCTCTTTACAATTTCTGACACAGAAAGGTTTTCTAACCCTTCGAAGTGGGTCAAATTAAGAAAATTAATATTATACATAATTCATGATCTAGCTATTTTTCTAAATACAAAGTATACTTTAACTTAAAAAATTTTAAGCCACTATTGCTTAAAAATGATAGGCTTCTATTCATCTTTTCCCCTGATGTGCTTATTATTGCACATGCTTTAAAGAAATTAGGGGTTGAATATTATGTTGGTATTCAAAGAAAATAACACATAAATTAGTGGGAATTTTGAACAGTAGGAAATTAGGGTTTTTATGCCTCTCAGCAATTGAGTCTGTCCTCTGAGGAAATAGAAAAATTGACTGTAAGAACAGTTCCCCTGATTCTTTGTGTGTGGTTTTGTGGGACCTAAGTTCTGTGATTTCTATCTCCCTCTCTGGACCTCCAGACACTGGCTTGCCCAGGGTCTGTATGTGTCCATGTCTCACTGTGAAAGGGGCCGCTCTGTTGTGACTTCCCCTCCTGCACTTGAATCCTGACTTGGTTGCATTGTGTCCTGCTTTCTTGCAGACCCCGTGGTGAAAGAGCAGTCCCAGCCTTGTGCAGAGAACGCTGTGCTTTCCAGTGGTCTCACGGCAGCCCGGTGAAGACTGGAGAGCGACGGGTAATGCGGCCTTGATGCTTGCCAATAAAACCAAGCACCAAACACAAACCTTGAAGGAAACTACAGTGTGATAAAAGAGAAATTTTAATCATTCCTTCTAAAGGCAAAGAAGAGTAAAGACCTAAAAGTCTGTCAAAAAGACACTCCCCAGTACTAGTCTACAGGGAGCTGCCATTGTGGCAGCGTGATGATGCACATAGTTCAGGATCTGAGGGACTCTCCCTTTGGAATGCATGGGAGATGAGAAACTCGGAGTTGTTGTACATTTACCTTCACTTAACAGGACACCACTATTGAATTAACCCGTTCGGTCAACAAGCTCTGAATATCTGACTTCCTATCTATTCCATTGTGGTCTGGTTTCCTTTTGTGAGAATTCAGGCTCAAGTTTTAGCAAATGTCAGCAGTCTATACTGACACACCAGCCTCATTTATGAAAAAGAGATATTAAAACAGTGACAGTATTTTTTTTTAAGCTCTTTTACAAATTCATGTTTTATGTATTTTTTTATGACATGAGCTCTCCAGGAAAAGTCCCTCATCCTTGCAGTTTTCCTCTTAAGTGTATGCATTTGGGAGCAAACTGCAGTCAATTTCAGAATCCTATGATGTCAGGAGACATCACTTTAAATCTTGAGATGCCATCAGCAGGTCCGTCGTTTCATCAGAAGTTCCATGCTAAGTGGCTGACGGTAACCTTTGAGCTCTCACGGTAACCTTTGTTGATTTGCCTAACCACAGAATCCCATTGCTGATTTTGTTTACTGTGCCCCTCACTTCCTTTTGTAGCCCTGTAAGGAGAATTTCACCATTTCCCAGCACATCCTTGTGTGTGCATCTATTTTAATGCACCTCTCTGAAAAAAAATACTTTTTTATTGTTCTTTTTTTTTTTTTTTTAAATAACCATAACTAAAGCTGGAAAGTCAGTTTTCAGGCAGGTCAAGAAGGGAGAAAATGTCCTATTAGGATTTATTCAGGAAATACTTATTGGAAAAAAAAATGTATCCTCATCTTTTTTCCCTCTTTTTATCCCCATGACAATACCAGCTATAATCAGGGTAATATGCATTTTAAGCTCTGATAATGTGAATGTGATGGCAAAGATAAATCTGTCATGCAGGTACTGACAACATGTGGGCAAGACCATCCTGTAACTGAGAGGAGAGGAATGTGCAGGGGGGTGGGGATGAAGTGGAGCTCCTGGAGCCAGTGTTAAAGTTTTGGATCCACTGTGCTAAAGTCCATGTTAACAAAGAAAGCTACATTTTTGTTTAAAAAAAAAAAAAAAATAGGGCTGATTTAATTTTGGGGACTTGTAACCAACAAGGTTTGTTGGCTGTTCCCTGGCCCCCGGCTGCAGACTCATGCCTCAGCTCTGGGGACCTAGCATGTCTAGAATAGAACTAGAGGTGTCTACCACCACATCACACTTAGGACTTCTTTATTAACTATTTAATAATGCCGTACATTTTTATAAGGTTAGATTGTTTGTTTGAAACATCTGTTTACATTCCATATCCCAATAAAATCATATTGGTATTGGTAGCAGGTCCTATCTCTAAATGCAGATTCTATTTTTGTCGTTTGGTCTGTGGAAACTTAAATTGCAAATGAAACTCATAGAGTTGAGTTTATAGATTAAAAAATAAGATTCTGAAGCCAGGAAATACATTCACTTAAGGTTCTCATACCAATACCGCCTGCCTGCATTGCACAGTCTGCATATTGATGTATACATTTGTTTTACCTGAAAATTAAAAACAAGACGTTAGTGAGCTCTCAAATGAACCTATTTCAATAAGTCAGGCAGCGAAACTCAGTGTTTTGAATTATCAAAGGCCTCTGACCCGCCCTTATGGGCAGCCTGAACCATTGGTTATCAGGGAGAGTGCCACTGTGTCTTTCCTGCTCCCTGCCCCATTTTCTCCTCCATCACCCATGCCTCTCCCCTTACCTTGCTTTTCTCTTGTCTTTCTCTTTCTCCTTTTCTTTTCTATTCCAGCTGCCTTGATAGGCAAGAGTACCCTGCTGGAGGGGTTTTGTAGAGCCATAAACCTGCTCCTTTCCCTTGGGGCCTCCAGAGGCAATGAAAGCATCTGGAGAAGGGTCATATGATAGGCTTCTGCCCCTTCTTCCTTTGGCCATGCTTCAGGTGGCACAGCACAACTGACCTGCCTGTCCTGGGTCGGTACTGCAGCTTTGGCACAGCAGTTATCCTTTTGAGCGTGTGGTTTGTTTCCACAGCACCTGTTCTTACCTCTCTTCATGCCTTAGACTTGGAGCATTCCTGGCTTTGAAATGCTCACTCCCTTCTGGATCTGGACTTGACACCTAAGCTGTTCTTTCCAAAACTGAAATGAGTCTCGTCTAGTCCTAGTCCTCTCTTTCACTGGTCTCCAAGTCCATTTTGTGTCCAGATGGCCCAAGCTCCCCTGAGATATTAGAGTGTTTGCCTGGGTTAGGAGATGGTCTTGGAGAGTCTTCAAGGAGGGTGGGTGTGTGTGTCTGTGTGAGTGAGAGTGTGTGTAGCAGTGGGAGTCTAGTCTTACATTTAGACTAAACTAGATAAGTTTACCCATCCAGTCAGCATATTCTTTTTTAAACTCAGTAATTTTCATTTGTTTGCTTCATTACCTTATAACAAGTTAAAAGTGCCTATGACAAGGACTTAATTCTTTCCTAAAGAAAAGCAAAAAACATGGGGAACAGGGTAGTGTTGCACTGTCATCTCAGGTACTGCCTGTGTTCAGGAACATAGACCTGTAGGGTGAGGACAGAAGGTGCCTGTGCTGAATCCAGGTCAGAGTCTCACGGTTGGTGGCCACGAGTGAGCTTAACTGCAAGGGTGCTTCAGCCAAGGAATTTCAGGGTGCGGGTGGAACTGATGCAGGGCTAACCAACATTCTCAAGGTGACTGTGTGGCAGTTTACTCTCTCTAGGTTCTTGTCAGCTGACTGGTTCCCATCCTGTCCTGTGGCAGGCGGCTGGATAGGAGATGCTGTTGCGTGCATAGTGCGGCAGTATTCTGCTGGGTATTGCTGGGGCTTCTTACCAATCAGAGCAGTGCCTGTGCCAATTCAGTGATGCCCTTGGGCACCAAGCATTCTGCCAGGTCTTGTCACGGGTGTTCCAATGCATCAGTGCTCACCAGGCTTAGAGCACATGTATTCCCATAGAGAGAAAGGTGCTCTCAGGCCAATTGACTCAAGGAGACAGAAGAGCTCAGAATCCTGGGAATGTGAAGAGAGTGACTGGGGGGGAGGGGCAGGTAAAAGGAATCCATAAGAAAAATGACCTAACTGTAGGTCTTGAGGGAATATCCTTGAAAGGCTGAAATCAGGGGACACCAAGTTCTGACTTGTGCCCTGGAGGACGACGCTGCCCTCTGGCTTGGGTCCACTGGGCCTTTGAGAGGTGGTATCTTGATTTAGGTGCTGAGTCCCAGAGAGCTGGTGCCAAGGGTCTTGTCTCTGCACACTCAGGGAAATGGCTTAAGTTCTCCCAGGTGCTGCATTGATGCAGATGGAAGCAAAGCTACTTTGCAACACAAACCAGTCAGAAGAATTTTGATATGTGCATTGAAATCTAAGAGACCCCCGGTTAATGATCTCCTCAGTGCCAGTTCAGACTGATTCGTTAGAAGCCTGTGTTACTGTGTGAGCACCCACAGGGAAGAGCAGACCTCCCTCCTGCAATAAATGAGTGGATAATAACTGGTGAGAGTCACATTCACTTAAGTAGAAACCCTCTGAAAGCAAACTCTGGGTCCTCATGAAACACAAGCTCAGGTTTGTCAGTGGGCTTAATAAATTAAAACTGAAGAATATCCTGCCTTTTAAAACCTTAAGTCCAGAATGGGGATATTGGGGAGGGGAGGTTGCAAGGAAACCAGTAATAACATGCTTCTGAGCTTTATGAATGTTTTAATGAAAACACCCTCAACCAGGGATTGTAGAGGCTGGGAAGAGATGTGATGGGGTATACAGTGATGCATACTTTTGTGTCAATACTCAACAATGTGCTACAAATGTGATTCTTAACCCTGAACTGCATGTATTGGGGATTGTTTAAAAAACAACAACAAAAAAAACTTTGAATCAATAAATTAACAGTTTTTCACTTGCTGGCTCTTCTTGCTGTAAATGGTTGACTAAGCATTTGTGACAAATCTTGACATCCAGTGGAAAGCTTGGATACTCTTCAAGAACCGTGGAGCCTTCTTTTTGCAGAAAAGCAACACTGCCTGGGTTTGATCCATTGCAAGTGACTACTTCAGACACAGTTGGCCAACTCTGTGTATCTCTGGATGACTGATATGTGATTCATGTGCTACTGCCCTTAGAGGGAAGAAAAATGCCATGTTAAATCCTGTTTTCCTAAATAAAAATGTTGACAATACCCAGCCTTCCCGAGTGGGAGACAAGCCATTGCTATGAGGACCTTAACTTGTATTTCCTGTCTCTTGGGGGAGGGAGGGATAAACCTTGAACTGCAAGGATGTGTATGGTGGTTGCAGATCATCACCGTGGCGTGAAGTTGAATTAAAGATGTGGTGGGATTGTTTTTGTTTCTGAGTTGCACCACTCAGACACCTGCTTCTTGGGATTGACTTGTTGGTGACTTTAACTTTGTAGCCCATTGTTCTGCACTTGTGAAAGTCTCCCCTGCGCCAGTCCTCACAACACATGCAGGCACATGTGAGCACGTGCAACTGTTGAGCGATGGTGATATCTTTTTAGTGTGCTTTTTTTTTTTTCCTCACTGATCACTGTGGAATTTTTGGACTCTTGGAAATCAGTACTTAAAGGCAAATACGGTAATTTCTTAATGTGCTTCGGCAGGCATTCTCAAATATTAATCAATGGAACCTTTACCCAAAGGAAGTTTTCATCAAATAACTGTGACAGTTTCCCAAGGGCAAAGTGCCTTCCCTCAGTATTGCTAAACGGCCCTGGGAGACACTCCTGTGCTGGCATCTCACCATCCACTTGCTGTGCCAGATGGGAAAGGAGGAGTGGGTTTTCAGGCCATGCCAGGCAGCTGTTTGCTTCTACCACAGAATTGAAAATAACTGTCACTTGTTCCCTTATTGGTGGACTCGGCCCTTTTCTCTGAGTTCACGCCAAGTCATCTTCTCATTGTTGGTCCCAAGATGTCCTTAATAAATTGGGTCAGGTTAAGAGTGTTGGACTGCTTGACTTGCATGGAGTGATTATGGGGCTTGACACCAGCGTCCTGGACTCCAGGGTTGGCATGGTGTGTCCAGAGCTCTCCCCTTCCTCTCCAGAAGACTGCCTTTTGCAGTCAAAAGGGCAGGAAGAGGGTACTCTGAAACCTAGAATCATGCAGTGAGTTCTCACTGCATGTTCCTGGAAGTGGCTTAGGGAGGTCAAGCTTGCATTCTACCCCCAGCCCTCTTCAAGAGAAGGAAGCCCCACGCAAGTAGAGGCCTGCCCCACTCTGGGTCAGATTGATTAATGCCGTCTTTCCCCTCCTCCCATCTCTCCCCAGGTCTGTTGCGGTACCTCCCACTTTTCCATAAGCAGAACAAGAACCAAATCAAACGTCTTAACGTGTGTAGCGAGATCACGTTCCGTGAGCAGACACAAAACGGTGGCAGGTTTGGCGAGCACGAACTGAAGGGCAGCCTACCACCGTATATCAAACCTCACTTCCGAATGTAAAAGGTTCACATGCCTTGACTTCCTGTTGACTTCCTCCCGACCCAGAAAGCATGGGAAATGTGAAGGGTATGCAAAATGGTTGTTGGTTACTGTTGCTCTCCACGCCCCTTGATGTGTCCTGTGGCCGCCTGTTTTTCCAGCAAACCACGTTAATTAGCTGACCACAGACACCACAGTGGGGGAATGGGGGCAATATATGGCATGACGGGCAGTTACATATTATTTTAAAAGTATATATTATTGAATAAAAGGTTTTAAAAGAAATGTATGGAGAGTTTTCAGTATGGAAAGGACCATTTAAAAAGACCTATGACCATGGAGGACTGAGTGACAGAAGATCTTGTGTGCCAGGTTCCAACCAGAGGAAAGTGGGGGAAGTCCCGAGGTGAGGAGGGCCAGTTATAAAGAGCAATGCAGAGAAAAGGGAGTGTTCAGAGGTGTGGAGTGACCCATCCTAGGAGTGGGGCAACCAGAGAAAGGAAGCACCCAGTGGGCTGGGAGAGCTGGCCAGTGGCCACCCGGGCCCCAGTCTGAATTGGGTGAGTGGCCCAGCATTTGAAGTAGGTAAATATTGCCTCCACTGAACTCAAAAAGATGCCTTAGCCCTTTTTTTTGCTGTCCCTTGGCTTATGTCTGAACATTTCATTCCATGTCCTAATCCTGCCCGCCTCCCCTCTGAAAAAACACCTCGTCCCAGAGGCTGGTGGAGCCTACTGTCCAGAGGCAGGGGAGGGATGAGCTGGGGGCTGCTCCTGGTCACGTTCTGACGCTCCATGAATGAGAAGTGAACTGGTCCTCCCAAATGGCAAAGAGGCTGGAGTGGAAGCAACAGTTGTATGTTTAGTGAAAACAAAACCAGTTTTACAAACGGCTTTGCTGGCTCCCTCAGACCTGGGTCTTACCTCCCAGAACAGCTGTGCCGGGGGTGGGCAGTGAGAACAGTGGCCACAGCCTGGTGGCCACCCAGCCTTGCCTCTGATGGCTGGGCCTGTGTCCTCCCACTGCCTGTAGAGGGCAGAAGAATAAGCAGAAGTGGACACCCAGGTTGGGGTGCCGGCCTGGTCTCCACAGAGGCCATTTGTTCCACACAACACTCCTCCTCTGCTGCTTGTTCTGAACAGCTGTGTGAATCCAAGTGTGGACACTCAGGGCATGTGGAGCAATTATAGAAAAAGGCAAAGAGGTCCCTGTCAGGGCTGCCACCACCACGCCACAGTGTCCTTTGGACCAGCTTCTGCCATTTTCAAACAGTTCCTCAGGCCTGAGAGCTTGAAATTACCTGCCCCTGGATACCAGCGAGTGAAAACCCACAGGCCACCAGCAGAGGACTTTGCCAGGCCAGTGGGACATAAACAGACTTGGTACTTCCTGGCCCCATCACTGACCTAATTTGTTTAAGCTGAATCTTTTGTGGGGCTCTACAAATTCTTGTTGGTCTTCCAGATCTCTGGGATGGCATCAAAATACCTCATTTGAATGTGTGTGTTTTACCTACACAGCATGTATGTGTTATCTCCATGTGGACCTGCTGGTGTTTAAGGCCCTTTCCAGATGTGGAGGGTCTTGTACAAACAGGTCCACAAGTGGTGGGCTTGGGGCTTGGAATGTTCACTTTGCCCTCAATCTCTCCTCCTGTCTTCAACCCTGGCTCTCCTTAACTTTCCAGTATGGAAGTCTCGATTTCCAGAAACTTCTGAAGGATATTAAATAAGCTTGGGTTTTGAGGATGGTTATGGTTGGGGAGGAGAGTGGTTGTAGAAGGAAGCAGAAGGAGAAGTTTTTGCTTAGGTGGTTTTGACTTTGAGAGAAGGGAGCCTGCTGACCCAAGGATCATCTGTAGTTGGAGTTTCAGAATCACATCTTCCAAAAGTCCTGTTTGTATTTTGGTGGATTAATATTTATTGCATTTTCCTGAAGATTGAAATAATCCATGCTTGTGGTAAATAAATGCAAATGAATTTTATCATTATCAACAGAAAAGTTGATGAAGCCCCACCACTATGCGCACCGGTGCACACATGCACGCCCTTTCTTCCGTTGGAGGTAACAACTGTTAAAATTGGTGTGTATGCTCCCATTTTTTCCTATGCATTTACTGACATTGATTCTCATGGTAATAGGAATGTAATAGAAATGTAATTGAACTCTGTTATTTACCAGAAACTTGGCATTTTCACTTAACTGAAAATCTTATTATATTTGTGTGTAGATCTACCTCACCCCTTTATCATGGCGGCATGGTATTCCATTCTGTGACGTATCACAACTGAAACAATTCCTTCTTCATAGACTCTGGGTTGTTTCTATTTTCAGTATTGCTGCAGTGGGCAAATCTGCACATAAGTTTTTTTGAATTGGTTATATGTAAATAAAATCTTAAAGAGTTACTATGCCATATGATTTTTTAAAAAATGTTATGATTCTGAGAAGGCAGTGTTCTGCCCCTTCCACACTAGTACAGATTAGACCTGCCATGACTTTAGTCATGGGGTTCTTGGGGGGTTTAGGCACTTGGGGCCTGGTGCCCAGTGCCTGTGAGCTTTCTGGGGACCTACAGAAATGTTTAAATCTGAAAAACAAGTGATGACTCTACATCAAGAAAGTTGAAAATAAAAATTAAGTGGAATTAAATGTCTTAAAATGGATAATCCTATGAAATTTATTGTTGTTAAAGTCAATATTTACTTTAAAACATACTTTTCTCATTCCAGTGAGTTACCATCATAAAATCCAATGATTCCACAAGCAAATTCTAAAGATTTTTTTTTAATTACAGGAAGAAATTATCTTAAATATGAAAAATAGTTTCATTTTAATGTATTTGGAATGCTATGGAAAAACCTTCAAAAGTAAGCATGCCGAGAGCCAGCAAATGTTTTAAAATAGCCCTGGCTAGAGGGGGCCAGGTGGAATGGATGAGCAACATTTCCAGAATATTATTCTTCAGGCTGTTGAAATAATGTGCCTCTCAAATGATTTTACTAGGTGAAGAAGCCAGACTCAAAAAGCTGCACACTGAGTGATTCCATTTATGGGACATTCTGGAAAAGGCAAACCAGGGATGAGAGCAGGTCTCCGGTTGCCTAGGATTAACGATGGCTACAGAGGGTTAGTATGAGGTCATTTTGGGGGGTGCTGCAATCATTCTGTGGCCTAAATGTGATGGTTGTATGACTTGGTGCCTTTGTCAAAACTGTACACCAAAAAAAAAGTACATTTTATTGTTTGTAAACTTAAAAATTCATTTTAAAAAATAACAATAATGTGCAGGGGCCTAACAGCATCCCTTTGGACTTCAGGCTCAGATTAGCAGGAACCTCATCTGCCCGCCTCTGACTTTTCCTAATAGTCAGGACTGATGGTCTTCCTTGGATAGAACTGCTGGGACCCACTTCAGTTGCCCTTGACCAGCTGAAGACTCCAGGCATTCAGGGCACGCTTCCGTCTTTGCTCTCGGCTGAGGGACAAACTCCACCTCGTTGCTGTGCCTCTCCCTCCTACCCCCATATCATCAGGGAGAGGTGAAAAATAAGTTCTGCCTTACAGTGCATGGCATGTCTGTCCCTTGTGTGTCCCAAGGGAAGGTTCTCTGTGTTTCTAGACTTGGACTGACAGGAAGGGTTGCTGTCCCCTGGGTGTTAGCATCTGACCAGGGTTTTTATGCACTGAAAGGAATGCTTATAACTACTTATGTTTCAAATAATGTCTTCATTATTAAAATTGTACATTTAAAAATCTCATTTGTGTCTTAAAGATCAATTTACAAATCTTGTATTCATGGCTGCAAACTAATTGATTTTGTATATAAATGTGAATACTTGCTTAACTTTTGATTGATGGTCAACTAACTCCGAACTTAATGGGTTAACAGTAAATGTTGTTTACATGCTTAATCTAGTTACCTTTAACAGTTCAGACTCAATCACATTCTCAATCTGTTTGATTTGCAAATATGAAAAATCTAAAATCTGATGAAACCTTCCTAAGCACTTGAAAAGTCTGTCTAAACTTATAAATTTAATAATTGAAATTTCTTAAATGTTTTAAACATTAAATTTTCTTGGACATGATAAAATTAAAATCATATCTAATTTTAAATTCCTTTAAGCATTTTGATTTAAGTTCAAAACATCAGATCCTCTTAATACATTAGGTCCTCTTTAGTATTTCAAATATCTAAAAATATGATCACCACAATCGGAAACTTATTACCCAATTTGATACAGATTATTGAGATCATGGTTTAGTTTACTTGCCATAATGTCTGTGTGGGGGTTTTTGTTTTTGTTTTTATTTTTGGGGGGGGTATCAGGGATTGAACTTGGGCACTCAACTACTGAGCCACATCCCAGCCCTATTTTGTATTTTATTTAGGGACAGGGTCTCACTGAGTTGCTTTGCACATCGCTTTTTGCCGAGTCTGGCTTTGAACTCGTGATCTCCCTGCCTCAGCCTCCCGAGCCACTGGGATTACAGGAGTGCACCACTGTGCCTGGCATATCTGTATTTTTTGACACCCCACCAAGGGGAACATACTATGGCTCAGCCTAGAACTTCACTATATTCGTGGTCAGATTCCCCGTCCCCCATCCATAACCGGATGGCAAGTGCTCTACAGCTGAGCCACATCACCAGCCCTTTTGTACAAGTTTTAATTGCCTGATTTGCATGATTTGAACTTGTGTACCCACTGCAGTTCCTCTACTGCCTCCTTGGAATCTTCCTCCTTTTAACTGATTACCTTTTTAAAAAATCTGACTACAGCCACTTATTAGCATGGTTTCTCATATTTTGTTCTTATATATCTTTGTGTTGAAGGGAATGCAAAACACAAGAACTGTAGTGTTTGATGCATATGTCTGTGGGAGACATGATTTTAGGTTAATTTGGTCTATATGACCTTTGAAATGAACACCGATGTCTGAGATGAACTTTTGCTCTCCATCCATTTATTCATTGACTGCCTATCATGATGGTGGGTAGTGTGCTAAGTCCTAGGATACAATGCACAGAGAAAGACACAGTCCACATCTGAAGGGAGCATGCACAAACTAAGCCAGAGGAGCAAACCCGTTAATTTATGTTTTCCCTACCTTTGATGGAATAATCTTTTTTAAAAAAAAAAAGAGAGGGAGAGAATTTTAATATTTATTTTTTTTTTTAGTTTTCGGCAGGCACAACATCTTTCTTTGTATGTGATGCTGAGAACCAAACCCGGGCCACACGCATTCCAGGCAAGCGCACTACCGCTTGAGCCACATCCCCACATTATTCCTGATGGAATAATCTTTACTGTGACCAAGGTTGTGATCACAATACACCTCAAACTTTGACATGAGGGAGAATGGAACACAGTTTATGCTGATGAGTAGCTGGGAGAAGCAAGCTACTTCCTTACTTTCATTTCCTTGGTCAGTGTGTTTATTTAGGGTCAGGGTCCGGTTTTCATTTTAAGTGGAACAATTAATGAGAGAGCATCATGAGAACAAACCAGTACAAAAAGAGACTTCACAGAGCTTTTGTTGGCCAATGACTGGGATATAGCTGCCCTGATTCTGAGCAGAAGAGCATCTCTTTCAGCTGGGTGGGCTTGGACCTGGAGACCAGGAGAGACAGAGCCAGGAGTCCCAAGTCCATGACTCTGATTCATAGAATCAACACATACTGCATACCCACTTACAAATGCAAGCATTTGGGGCTGGGGATGTGGCTCAAGCAGTAGCGCGCTTGCCTGGCATGCGTGAGGCCAGGGTTCAATCCTCAGCACCACATACAAAGATGTTGTGTCCGCCAATAACTAAGAAATAAATATTAAAATTCTCTGTGTCTCTTAAAAAAAAATGCAAGCATTTGGTTTGGGCACCAAGATATATCTCTGAGCAACACAGACCAAATTTTTTCTCCTAGAAACACAACTGAGCAGCAGGGGGAGATGGACAATAAGCAAATAATTAGACTGTGAAGTGGTGATGAGTGCTATTTTAAAAATCATAAAGCGAACTAGGGGGAGAAGAGTAGGTAGCATGTGTTGGGGGTGGGGTGCTGGTTTAGATTAGGTTGTCAGAAAAGCCCTCTATAAGGTAGTGTAGTGGGTTGAGTTATGCTCCTCCCCAAAAAATTCATGTTCACCTAGAACCTCCAATGCAATCTTATTTGGAAAGGATTTTTGCAAAAGCAAGTAGCGAAAAGACCTCAAAAATACACTGAATGTGGGGTGGACCCTAAGTCCAGTGACTGACATCCTTCTAGGAAGGAGAGAGGACACGGAGAGAAAACAGCCACATGGAGATGGAGGCGGAGTTTGGAGTGATGCTGCCGCAAGCCAAGGAATGACTGGGGCCACCAGCAGCTAGAAGAAGCCAGAAAGGATTCTTCTCTAGCATCTTCAGAGGGAGCGTGGCCCTGCTGACACTCTGTGGACATCAGCATCAAGGACCGGAAGAGAAGAAATTACTGCCGCCTTGAGTCATGCAGGTGTGAGAATCTGTTACGGCAGCCCCAGGACAGTAATGCAAGTGGCATCCAAACTGAACTAGGAAAGGAGCCAGCCAGCCAGGCAGGACCAGCTCAGGCAAAAGCAAAGGCAAGTGGGGTGACACCAGCACAGGGGGGACATGAGGAAAGTATGAAGGGCTTCCAGGAAAAAGATGAAGGAGGAAATAGCAAGGATTTGGGTTTGAATCTAACAAATGGGTGGCCATTGGAACAAAGAGCCACTAAGAGGATCCCACTGGCTGCCACCAGTGGACTGGACTGTGAGGTGGCAAAGGTGTAAGTGAGAGAACGGAGGTGGCTGCCGTAGGGGCACAGGCAAGAGCAGCTGGTGGCTGACCAGGGCCTTGCCACAGGTAGTACCGTGACCAGACCAGAAGGTACTTAGAAGGTAGAGCTACAGGATCCACCGAGAAAAAGAGCTCTGGCTGACTCCAAGGATCAAGTTGGCATTTACTGAAATAGGCAAAACGAGGGGTGGAGCAGGTTTGGGTAGGGGATGGTGGGGCAGAGAGATGTAAATCCTATTTTGGAAATATTAAGCTGAGGATGCCCATCAGGCCTCCCGGCCACTACTCCACCGTCTAAGAAATGGAGTAGCGCCAGGTGCAGTGGCAGACACAGATAAATTATCTCTTTGCTATATGGCTTGTGCTTAGAACTTTCATTAACCATCCCTAAGTCATCCCTATATTTTTATTAACTACAGATTTATCTCATATCCATGCCTTTTTAAAATCTTGATTTATTTATTTTTTATGTGGTGCTGAGGATAGAACCCAGGGCCTCACACGTGCCAGGCGAGTGCTCTACCACTGAGCCACAACTCCAGCCCCATATCTGTGCTTCAATCCTCCTGATAAATGGTGTTAGGTAGGGAATTAGTTTTATTTTTCTCTTTAAAGTAAGTCAGTTATAGAAGGGCGCGGTGGCACACTCCTGTAATCTCAGCCGCTCAGGAGGCTGAGACAGGAGGACGGGGAGTTCAAAACCAGCCTCATCAATGGCGAAGCACTAAGCAACTCAGTGAGACCCTGTCACTAAATAAAATACAAAATAGGGCTGGGGATGTGGCTCAGTGGATGAGTGCCCCTAAGCTCAATCCCCAGTGCAAAAAAAAAAAAAAAAAAAAGTAAATAAACTTAAATTCCTATGAAAAGATGAGCCAGCATATTAGTAGTCAGAAAAATGATAACTAAAAGTCATTTTATATGTATTTTGAACTTACAAAATTTAAAAAGTAGAATAATGCTGAGTGATGGGATGTGGGTGTGACTACAGAGACCCTCTTGCATTGTCGATGAGAGTGTAAGTAGCTATGCTGATTTAGAAAGCCATTTAGCACTTAGTCATCTTAATTGCATGCACATATTATGACCTGGAGGTTCTGGTACTGGATGTGTGTGCAACAGAAATTCTGACATAGGTCCTTAAGGGGACATGTATAAGTATGTCCATTAGTGAAGGAGTGGACAGATAAAACATGGTATATGCATTCAGACTTTAGAGCAATTAAGCAGTAGATTTGATATGCACTGGTCCAATGGATGGATCTTAAAAACTGTAGTGCTGAATAATGTGTTTTAAGGTCTTTTTGAAGACAAAAGTCTTATGGGTATCTGTATATATTTATACATGATTAGGTAAGGAAAGAGAATTGATTCATTTAAGGGGACAGGTAGAGAAGGCAGAGCGGGAAGACATGAATGGACCACATACAGATGCGTATATTTTTTTCTGAATGGTGAGATACCGAGTTATTGTAAAGTTATTTTTCATAGTTCCTCAATAAACCCATATCACCTTTTTTAACCAGAAAAAAATAAACTCACATAAAATAATCAGATTCAGAAACTTCTGAAGTACAATGACTACCTTAATTTTCTTCTATGATTATTGGCTATTTGGTTTTCTACTTCTAGACCTAGTACTAGTAATTTTTCCTAGAAAGTAATTTATTTCACCAGGTGCATTCCTGTAAACCCAACTATTTGGGAAGCCAAAGCAGGAAAAGCCCAAATTCAAGGCCAGAGAGACCCTGTTTCAAAGTAAAATAAAAATAACTGAGGATGCAGCTCAGTGATAGACACTTAGTTAGCATATGTGAGGCCCTGGGTTCAATTCCCAGTGCTGGAAAAGTTGGATGCAGTATTTGAATCACCATCACCATCACGTCAACATTCATCTATACTTCTATTTCTTAATGTTTCTTAATTGGATTTTCCCCTGAAGGAATTTTGAAAAACTC